AGAAGACAGAGTTTTTTTATACTTCGAAGAGTATTAGACGACTGCAAAGGAGAAAGAAAGAAAGAAAGAAAGAAAGAAAGAAAGAAAGAAAGAAAGAAAGAAAGAAAGAAAGAAAGAAAGAAGGAAGGAAGGAAGGAAGGAAGGAAGGAAGGAAGGAAGGAAGGAAGGAAGGAAGGAAGGAAGGAAGAAAAAGAAAGGAAGGAAGGAAGAGAGAGAGAGAAAGAGAAAGAAAGAAAGAAAGAAAGAAAGAAAGAAAGAAAGAAAAGAGAAACAAAGCTCAAGGAAAGCACTTATCAATAATCTCAACTGACACCCCACTCATAACAAGGAGAGCATTTTGTCCGGATTTTCCATGCCAAGTTATGACAAAGCGTAGTTTTCTGAAGGTGAAATCAGACTTTGAACAAAACTCTTCTATTAGCTTTTGATGAAGAGGCAGGGAACACAGAAATTCTCCTTGGAGCTGGGTCCCTAAAGAGGCAATAGTTGGAACTGTGGTGGGAGGCAAAGCCACAGTGGGAGGGGGAAGAAGGGGAGGAGGTGGAAGGGAGAGAGGGAGAGAGACAGAGAAAGAGAGAGAGACAGAGACAGAGATTCTCCTATTCTTCATGGTTTTACATATTTGATCCAACATAAGTTTAATTTTTTTCCCTTAGATACATTGCAATAATAGTTTGGTTATGCCAAAGATTTATATTTTTACCTCTTCGCTTTCTTTCAAAATTTTGTTTTATCAACATTTGGTAACAAAAGTAATAATTCCTTTTTTCCAAACTGATAAGAATCAGCCTACAAATCTGAATAAAAGTTACAGATCCCAAAATCTGCATAATCCAAAAATACTTCAATTTACAAACAATGAATAAAGTTACAAATAAGATTAAGGTTGGATTTATTTGTTCCTCCGGCAAGATGTCAATTGTTCTAACAGATGTAAGAAGGCTAAAAGGATTTAAACCACGCGAATTTAATAAACCAGATTAACAATGTGTACTTCCCACACTCTTAGGACCTCCAAGTTATCTGTCCCAATCTATAACTTTATAGAAAGAAAAACAGGCGGCTCCCTAACGAGCCAGAGTAATGTCATTTAAAATATAATCTAGTTCCTGAAGTTCTTCCCTTCAAAATAAATACCCTACAGAAAGCAGATGCGTTCAAAATAAATTATAATGGAAGTTAAGTATTTTTTAAATCCTTAATGTTACCTGGGTTTGCAATTCCTAATTAGCAGATTTTTTTTTTAAATAATGAGAAGAAAAACAGAAAAGTAAGAAAAAGGCTTGGAGATACTATACTTAAGAAGAGCTGATTAAAAACAGACTTAAGTTTGAGAAGCTATCTCCTTCTCCACACACACACACACACACACACACACACACACATCTCTCTCTCTCTCTCTCTCTCTCTCTCTCTCTCATTTGGAATTTTCTGGGGAATAGGTTTCCGCATCCATATTTGTTCTGGTCCACTTGTAAAGAGGGTTTTTCTCCCTTCGATTGTCTTTGAATTGTTTTTCCTGAAACAGCTCTTTCGCTGTTAATGAGTCCCCATGCAGCTGGACAGCTCCTTCTCGGACACTGAGAGCTCTAACCCCAAAATGACCCCAATTTGACACCGCAAGATGAAATTTTACCGCCTGTTAAAACCATTTCCAGCCTGAGCAGAAGGAGCTCACTGTTGACAGAGGTGTGCTGCCTTACCAGGACACCTATCTCTCTTCTTTTGGTCTCTTCTCATGGTCTGCCCCACCTACCCTCCCACATCCTTGGTGGGAGTACCTAGGTTGGGAGAGGGTGACCAAAACATTATCAAGGGTCTGAAAGGCACGAAGTGTCAGATTGAATGGACTTATTTTAAAATTTAAAAAAAAGAGCAAGTGATTTTTAAACTAGATGTTCCTTCCTCTGTCTAGAATATCAAGAATAAGTGATTATTCCAATCAGTGGACCAATCAGTATGACCAATAAGTCATTGGTCATTTGAGTTCACTATATTGAAAGTTACATGAAGAATTACACTGTAGCGTTTCCAACACTTCAGTCTGAACTTGTATTCAATCTACTAGGATTCTATACGGAGAAAACGTTGCATTCTTTTTCAAGACGGTGAGTGCACAGGATACACATCGGAGAGAATAAAAACCCTCGGTGATGTGAAATTTTACTTTATTTTGCCAAATGGTCACCTAAACATGCTGGAGGGTCTTTCCAAATACGTTTGCACTTTTTATAACATTAGTTCCCTAATTCTTCCCTAAAATTCTTCGGAAGGAAATAATATTATTTTTTGACTAGATCTTATTTCCATTTTTTGTCCCTCCCTCTCCCATAGGCTTTGTTCTATCCTCTGGAATTGTTCAAAACACTGATGAAAAAGCGAAAGCATTCCCAGACTTAAGCAGAGTTGAGGGTGAAACTATTTTTCGTCACTGAGCACCTTCTCCCATGTAAATAAATTGGGGTTAAAAGTTCCCGTCTTCGGGGAAAGTAAACTATTATCAGTGGACAACCAACCTATTATTAACTTAACAGCGGTACTAAAATATAGGAAACTTAAAGTGGACTGAATCTCGTTTGCTCATGTATTACCGTGTAAGGTGCCTTTTTGAATGAAAGTGAAGACTTCTGAAGAGTTTCTGAAGTCTGAAGAGGTTCTTACACATTTCATACTACGATTAAACAGAAAAAGAAAAGAAAGGAGACAGAGGGAGGAGAGAGAGAGAGAGAGAGAGAGAGAGAGAGAGAGAGAGAGAGAGAGAGAGAGAGAGAGAGAGAGAGAGAGAAATCAGAATCTACCAACAGCTGAGCCCTGTAGTGCAAACGTTTTATGTGAATTTGGGGCTTTTATAAAAGAAACACTTAAGGAAATTTAGGACATTAAAAAAATCATATAATTGGCCTACACTTATGACGACATTTTAAGCAAAGATAATAATAATAACAGTAATAACAACAATTATTCAATACTGCTAATAAGCGCAGTTGGAAGAGTGCGAAAGGATTTGCCTAAACTACTCAGTCGGTCTCGGTGCAGCAGAAAGAACTGACCAAAGAATTCATAGCCATGAATATCGTGAACTGTGTTACTGAATTATACTACAAAATAGAAAATACTGCACAGGAAGATGAGGTTAGTTCTTTGTCTCTTTTTTTACCTTCTGCACTCCCCTCCCCCCAGGTAAACTTAATTTGCTTAGCTACTACTAAAAAAGACAAGTCTGGAAACTAGAGATTTAAAAAAACCTCTCACTCACCTCTTCTTATAAATCCGAGGTAAAGTCAGCAACAACACAGAGTCACTGCTCTTAATCTTGGAGATCTTCGGGGGGTGGGGAAGGAGAAGGAGAAGGAAAGGAGAAGGAGAAGGAGAAGGAGAAGGAGAAGGAGAAGGAGAAGGAAAGGAGAAGGAGAAGGAGAAGAAGAAGCAGGAGGAGGAGGGGGAGAAGGAGAAGAAAGAGAAGGAGAAAGAGAAGAAGGAGAAGGAGGAGAAGGAGAAGGAGAAGGAGAAGGAGAAGGAGAAGGAGAAGGAGAAGGAGAAGGAGAAGGAGGAGGAGAAAGGAGAAGAGAGGAGGAGGAGGAGGAGGAGGAGGAGGAGGAGGAGGAGAGAAGAAGAAGAAGAAGAAGAAAGAAGAAGAAGAAGAAGAAGAAGAAGAAGAAAATCTCAACCTTCACTTTTGCTCTTCATTATTAATTGGGTGTACAACAATGCCATAAAGTATCTGCATGACTTTTTCCCTTTCTAATCACCCCCTTTCCCCTCAGGAGCATTGGAAAATACCTCCGTTTCCACAGCACTCTAGCTATCGGAAAGCCTCGGATTGCCCACTGGCGTTATGTCAGCCCTTCTACACACTTTCTTTCTTTATATGTGAGGGCTGATTTCCCGCAGACATCATTGTTATGATGGCTCATTTAATCAAACTGTTTAATTGCTCCAGTAATCACTATCATCATCACAGGTACTCAATCATTCATCATTTTTGGAGGGCTTTATTGACCTCTGGAGCTCATTCCCCAGCCCTATTAAAATAGGGCCAAATTTCTCTGACTCGGCTTTGATTCATGTTAAGATTGAAATCTAAAGCTATTTTAAAGCTATTTCCAGAATCTTAAAATAAAGAGGGAAAAAATGGTAAGGTTTTTTTAAAAAATAAACCTTTTTTCATCCCGCAAAAAAAAAAAAAAGATCCTTTACGTCTACCCCATTCCTTATTTTGGGGATGTGGGGTTCAAAGCCGAGTATGGAGATGAGACCACTTTCGGAACTCGGTTCAAAGTTGGGGAGGGGCTCTAGTGTTCAAGGATAGTCTGTTTTAGATTTTATGTTCAGAGGACCGTGAACGAGGGAGAAAGAGAGAGAGTTAGAAAAAGAATGAGAAAGAGAGCCCGAGAAGGGGGGAGGGGTTCAGAGAAAGAGAAGGAAAGGGGGGTCCAGCAATCGCTTGTTTGACCATCGCTCCTCCCCTAAACTTCAAGCCTTCTCTATGATTGATGATCCTGGGGAGCTCTAGTAATTGACTGTTCTGAGGTAAGGCTTGTTTTAGCTTCAGTAAAATGATTGGGCGAGAGAAGAAGACCAAAATTAGTTTCCACACAAACGATGTGTGTGTGTGTGTGCGTGTGTGTGTTTTTAACTTTTCCTCTTTGGAAAAGTTCATTTGGTGCTCAAGGGGGTGCACCATCCTTCTTAATGTGCTAAATCACCCCAACCTAATTAGCATTACTATTATAAAGCATTACTGAGTTAATACTTCAGCATATATTGTAGGACCACAACAAAGATAGGGAGTGAGCTCCAGAAACATACATTTCATTTCTTCTCTCTTCCTCTCGTTTTTTTCCACCCTCTCTAGGAGTTGAAAGGCTCAAAAAAGGCACATGCAAATCAGATCTGCATCTCACCGGCGCTTTTTACTACTCAAAGTGAACTCGACTTTGTTAGCAACGCGCGCGCACGCGCGCACACACACACCACACACACACACACACACACACACGAACGCGCGCGCGCATACACACAAATTCTTTTTAAGACTGGCAATTTCTACATCAGAAACTAAAAGGTCTTCTCTCGCTCCTACACCACCCGCACCACCTCCCCCGCGGCTACCAAACAGCACAAAGTGGTGGACCTCAGCGACACCTTTAATGGAGCTCGATGCGAGTACAGTTTGAGCTAAGATGTTGTCCTCTTGTCCTGGAAAATTAATATTTAAGAAGGTAATGAATCCACACGGGGCGGGGAGGGAAGCAGCACTGTAGAAAATAACACTGACAGAAACGCAGCACTCGGTAAAAATCTAGCTCGTTTCCTAAAAACGACCACGTTTGCCTCTAAAGGATGCCCCCTGGATTTTCGCAAAACATTCGATGCTTCTGAAGGCAGAGGGCTGGGAAAAATAAAGATTTAAATTTTTAAAAAAAGAGGAAAACCACGTAAAGAGTACGCTAAAGCAATGCAGGCAGAAGATATTTATGATTGTTTAAAAAAAGGCTAAAAGTAAGTTTAAAAATCAAAACACATCTAAGATTGTACCGTACTTTCTGGCTTTCTGCAGTTTTCCTCTCCCCTGCCTCTCTCCCCATGCATACATACACACTCTTCTTCCTCTCCCCCTCTCCTGCACAGTCTCCCTCTCTCTCCCCCTGTATGAAAAGGAACGCTGATTTGCTATGGGTATGATCTGTTGTGTGGCTCTCCCACCCACCCCCACCTCCCTCCTCCCCTCCTCCCCTCCTCCCTCCTCCTCCTCCCCATGTGGAGTTGAAGCAGTGCTGATTGCATACTCTGCATATCATAGGCTTTAGTCTCCTCTCTCCTCTCTCCCTCTCCCCTCTCCCTGTATGTCTCCGTTGTAGGACTGGCTATGGCCACCACGACTTCCGGGTTCCGTCATTTCATTCTCCCGCCGATCAGCGCTGCAAAACTGAGTCTCTTCTATAAGCCAGGCAGCAGCCAACCTGCCAACACTTACTGACACTCACTCATCTCACAGAGAGAAAGAGAGCGAGAGAGAACGAGCGAGCGATCGAGAGAGAGAAAGAGAGAGAGAGAGAGAGAGAGAGAGAGAGAGAGAGAGAGAGAGAGAGAGAGAGAGAGAGAGAGGAGAATATCTACCAGGAAAGAGAGAGAGAGGGAGGAAGTCCAGTTTTTGCAAACTATTCATTTTTTCTTTTTCTTTTTTTTTCTGCCTTCCCTGCACAGTACTCTAAAGAGAGAGGATCATAACGTAGGCATCCGGGGGGGGGGAAGGGATTTTTTTCTTTAAACCACCAAAAAAGAGAAGCAGAAATCCCTCGAGGAGTTTTACTGGAAGAAAAAAAAACGGGTCTGAAAGATTCCTTCTCTCCTCTTCATCATCATCAACCATCATTCATTCACTACCTTGACATTCCCTGGCTTTGATTGACAGCTGGAGTGGCAAAAAGCCATGAGACACGACAGTTTGGTTACATGTGGGCTGCTGACGGGCCGATCGTAACCTTCAGTTCGGGGGCTTGACAAATTTTTTTTCGTCTTCTTTTTCTTATTTTTTCTTTTTCTTTCTTTTTCTTTTTTTTTTCTTTTTTTGGTTTTGTTGTTGTTGCCAACAGAAGGGAAGAGGGGAGAAAAGGGGGAAAAGAAGAGAGGAGGAGGAGGGGGAGGAGGAGGAGGTGGTGGAGGAGGAGGAGGAAGAAGAAGAGAAAAAAAGAAAAAGAAGAAATATCACAGGAAAAAAAAACCTCTTCGTTGTTTTGCCTGGGCTCATTTTTTTTTTTAATTGGAGAATCAGGAGAAGTCTCCTTGGTTTGGGGGGAAAACCCAAGGAATCTTCAGCCTAAATCACTTTCTTAACCGGACTGGGATATTAAATATACGACACATCCAGGAGTTTATTGGAGCGCAGACTGATGGCGCAAAGGGTAGGTTTAAATCTCCAACACTTACCTAGATATAAATCCTCTCCTAAAAGGGGCCTGTCCGATGCCTCCTCTACAGAGCTGCTGCTGCTCGCTGCTTGATGATGGCGGCCAGTATTTAAAAAAAAAATAGCAGCAAAATTATTCATCGGCTTCTTTTTTTCCTCTTGTGCTTGTGTATGAGTGCGCGCGCGTGTGTGCGTGTCTGGGCGCGTGTGTTAGAGCGGGTGTGTGAGCGGGCGAAAGGGCGAGTGTATGCGTGTGTGTTGTGTGTGCAATTGTTACATGCTTTTTCCTCGCTCCAGCTTTTACCCCAGCAGCGCGATTCCCCTGTTTCTCCTGCTGCTGCTGCTGTTACTGCTGCTCCCTCTGCTCAGTAGCACGGGCTGCAGAGGGGAGCTGCTGCCTAGACAATATTTTGCTGCTTGTTTTGTCTCTGAATTTGACAAGGACGCAGGGAATCCGCTGCTAAATAATGTTTCTGGTAACTTTCACGTTATTCCCTCCAACCCCTCTTTCTCCCCTGCCCCCGGGGAGGGACTGGTTGTGGTCGTCTTCATCGTTGTTGTTATTATTAGCGTTTTCTTTCCTTTATTTTGTTTCATTTCGGCTTTTGATTTATTGAATCCTTTGGATGGAAGGAAAGGGGGGTCAGGGGTGGGCTCAGGGGCTTCCCTATTCAGAGCAACTCCAGTTCTCCCTTGTTTCCTTTTTATCTCTTTTCTTCCTCTGGCCGAAGTGGAGTCTCCGCCTTGCTCCCCAGACCTTAACCTCTTAGCCCTCTTCCTGTTCTCCTAGTTTATAGTTTTTTAACACACATATATTATCCATACATATATTTACAACTTTGAAGTCTGTGGTTTTGACTGCTTTTGTTTCTGTCTGCCTAACTCGTTTCGGCACTTCACTCTCTTCTGACTTTGTCGTCTGGTTTTTTTTTTTAATCTCAATCTCTCTCTCTCTCTCTCTCTCTCTCTCTCTTCTCTCTCTCTCTCTCTCTCTCTCTCTCTCTCTCTCTCTCTCCTTCTCCTGCTCTCTTCTTTTTTCTCTCTATCTCTCTGCCCTCTTCTCAACCTTCTTCCTTCCCCCTTCCTGACCCGTTTTGACAGTACGATGAGCTTCCCCATTACGGCGGGATGGACGGAGTAGGGGTGCCGGCTTCCATGTACGGAGACCCTCACGCTCCACGGCCGATACCCCCGGTTCACCACCTGAACCACGGGCCGCCGCTCCACGCCACTCAGCACTACGGAGCCCACGCCCCGCACCCCAATGTCATGCCCGCCAGCATGGGATCCGCTGTCAATGACGCCCTGAAGCGGGACAAGGACGCAATCTATGGGTAAACCCTATCTCCTGGGCCAAGTTTGCTGAATGGATGGGGGGGGATGCTAACTATTTATATTTGGTGGGGGGCACTTGAGCTAGGAATGGAGAAGGCAAGGAATGGTAAATCCTTGTCCCACGGAATGCAAAAGAGAAGGTGGACGTGTTCAGTGAATTAGGTACAATCCTCTTCTTCCCTACACAGAATCCCGGTCACCAAGAACTATTCCCCCCTCCCTCCCCTTGCGATCCATGCGTGTCTTAATCTCTAGAAATTGGAGGGAGACTCATCTTAATGCATAACATTCCAGCTGAAAGGTTAAGTTTCTGTTCTTTTGGATGGACCCTAACCAGAGAGGGGCCAAGGAAAAGGGGAAAGTTTCCTGCAAATAAGGCACAACTTTTTTTTCTTTTTTCCTGTTTCCTACCGAGGCTCTGGGAGTCACTAGATTCAACTGGAGCGAGGAGACGGGTAGCTCCACTTGGCCAGAAAACCTCTATCCACTACCTTAGTTCTCTGCAAATAAAAGGGGCAGACTACCGAACTCGAACTATGAAGTTAAAGGGGGAAAGGGTGCTGCTTTGCAAAAAGATGTTCTTGGGAGATGTATGAAGATTTATTTAAATGACTATTTCTGAGAGTTGAGAGGGAGTTGGGGGAAGGGATAGGGTGCACTACAACTGAAGCACAGTAGACATATACTGCTTCTTTGGGGCTGAACGTAGGTGGGGGAAAGAGGGATGGGGAAAGTATTAAGGGGGCAGCTGGTAAACACCAACTTACCCTGAAGCAAGAGACAACCAGCATCCCAGTGAAAAAGCTGAGTTAGGCTTTAAGAAACACAAAGAACAAACACACTCGTCCAAAGCTCATACAAGACTATTTTTGTCTGCTATAAATCCAGGGTAAAATATTTCTGCGAGTGGGGCTCTTTCCGTGTTTTTAACCAATATTATTATTACCTTGTCTCGTTATTTTAACTACACAGCAAATAACCGTACTAGGAGTATTGGGGGAAAATACTTCCTTGAAGTCCGTGTGTCTATGTGTGTTTCTTTGGTATCCCATGAAAATAGGTCCTTTAAACAGTTTTTGGTTCGACAGTCTTTCCCTTTTAAGGTACAATATCACAGTGGTCAAGAGTTTAGGCTTTCTCTGTTATACGCGGATGGACCTGGATCAGCCCAGCACTACTGTTAATGTGAGGTCCCTGCTTGTTTGATTGTTTTTTTTTTTAAAGTTACTGCTATTTTTATTTCGGGCAAAGTGTCCGCAGGACTTCTCCGACACTAGATTGTAGGAGTTTAAGCCACTGGAAGTGGCTAGGGACTCAGCTTTTCCCCCCACCCCCTTTCTACTTTCGGCATTGGCCCAGCTCACTGACGACACTTTTAGGGCTGTGCAGTGCAATGAGTGTTTGTATATGAAACCCCCTCAAAACTTGTTGATTACAGTTCTTCCTCCTTCCCCCTTGCACCCCCATCTCTCTGTGTGTGTGTCTTTGTGTGGTGCTACCCGTTAGGCACCCGTTGTTTCCTCTGTTAGCTCTGGTCTTTGAGAAGTGCGAGCTGGCGACCTGCACTCCCCGGGAACCCGGAGTGGCCGGCGGAGACGTCTGCTCCTCCGACTCCTTCAACGAGGACATCGCAGTCTTCGCAAAACAGGTCTAAACAATCTTGAACTAACCCTCCCCCACCACACACACACACCTCCCTCTATGGCCCTGACACTTTTGCATCCTCCCTTCCGAAGGGCTTTACTTTTCAGGAGGATTGAAAAGAGGAGAAAAAGACAGAAACTCAATCTGGCCCTTACCCACCTCCCCCTTTTCTATTCCCCTCTCCCTCCTTCCCACCTTAGAGCCTGAAGGCAAATTGGAACTCGAGATAAATGTGGGTGTTTGTTTTTCCCCCCAGCGAGGAATACTAGGGCTCGACCCTTGAATTAAAGTTGACCTACTTCTCATCTGGCGACTGGCTCTCTTCCTTACTAATAGCTACTTAATCAAGAATTGGGGTAAGGGGGTGTCAGTAGCCCATTGACTGAGAAGGTAGAAGTCCCTCTACCCTGGACTATCCAGGAAAGGTGGGGAGATGAGAGAACAAAATCCAAACAGGATTAAAGGACAGAGAAAGTGAGCAATAATGGCCTCAGGCCTAGGTTGTAGATTGGGGGTTGCTGCTCCCCTGGAATGGCATCAGGGTCAGAGAATTTTCTTTCAATCTGATCCTTACTCCTTTGATGGTCTGATTTGTTTCTCATGTTATATCCCTAATCCCTACCCTTATTCACCTTTACACATCTTTACAATCAACCCCCAATTCATTCGGTTACAATGGTTTAAAAGGGAGCCGTAATTTATGCTTAGTTTCCTGCTTCTTATAGGTTCGCGCTGAAAAACCACTTTTTTCCTCGAATCCAGAATTGGACAATTTGGTAAGGCTCACAGTTTTTCTGTTTTTCTGTCCCCCATCCCAATCTCCCCTTCATTTCCCCTAGCCCCTAGGTCCTTACTGTAGCTTCTGACATTCTCAAACTCTCCTTTGGATACTTGAGGGTAAGAGATCGTTAAAATTTTAAAATACAAATTTAAAAAGTTATCCTGTTAAAAGTCCCGGCTTGAAGATCGTGGGGAAGTGACCAGGAGTACAGGGAGCAAGACTAGGATCCAGAAATCGGGAAGGGGGTGGTTTGGAGAGAGAGGGAGCAAACTGGACAATTAAGAGCGGAATCCAACTAGCTTCACTTTCTGAGTGAACTCGGGAGAAGTGTAGCTATTTCCTTTGTATTGCAAAGGCCGCTTGCAGAGCCACGGTCAGCTAAAGCCTAGGAAGTAACTGCAGAGCGAAGTCGAGCTCGGTGTGAGGGGGAAGGGAGAGGACCTCGCTGGTCAGTTTTCACTGCAATTCTTTTGCAAATTTGGATGATTTCAATATTAAAAGTACTTAAATCTTCTTTCAAAGATGTTAGTTCACCATTCATCTGGAGCATTCCCTTCTTTATCTTGGGGGTTGAAATTGCTTTAGTGTGCAAGCCCCAAAAGCCCGCTGCAGGGTGGGTGTTTTGTTTGTGTTGTATGTGTGTGTGCTGGGGGTGGGAGGGTGACAGGGTAGAAAAGAGTGTAGGGCAGAGAAGGAAAGGATATTGACACCAGGCAGGCCTCGGTAAAACCGTGTTTGCCAGTAGATACAACAAAATGAAAATGAGAAAAAAATAAAGTACCTAGCCTAGGTTCGGGTTGATCTGAGTGGCTGAATGAAACCTGACTAGTGAGTGAGTGAAAATCCATAGCAATGAGTTCCTCTCCAACGGTTTTTTCTTGTCCATTTGGGCTGTGCCCAGACTCCAGGCTCTTAGGGACCATCCCTTCATTCTAGTCCAACCAATTTACTTAACCACCCCCACCTTCCATCCACTTTCACATACCTAACTCCAATTTAAAACCTTTCTTTCAGATGATACAAGCAATTCAAGTACTAAGGTTTCATCTTTTGGAATTAGAAAAGGTAAGCAAGAAGAGAATGGAAATATCATGGTCTACCTTGTCATCTCAAATTCCACCCTGTAGTTGAGCTTTGATTTTTAAGAGACGTTGGCCAGAGAGATTGGGCCCCAGGGGCATCTCTCTCAGGGTTGATATATTGTAGTCAATGCAAGAAGATAATAGGGGCTGCCCCCAAACCATGCCAGTCTGCCGAGGCCTTTTTCTTTTTTTTCCAAACTGTCCTTTAGCCAGGTTTGTTTGGTAGCATTGAACATAAGAGAGGTGGATAGCATAATTTTGTAAATGTATTTTTAATTATTCCTCCCCAGGACATCTCCCCTCTCACTCCACCCCCCAAATGCAGGATTATTTTGAAATGCAGTAAACTATTGGTTTAAGGAGACACCCAGTCTTTCAGTTTCTCCATTAAACCCAACCCATTTCCTAACCAGGAAAGGGATATAGATTCATGTACAGAATTACCTATCTCTAGGTACTTTATAATCTGTATATTTTGATCCCAGTTCAAACAACTCTGCTAGAAAATTACAAGTAGTACTTTGAGTTATAAATTCTCCAGAGAGATCTTTTAGTTAGGTCCGGTGTTTTAATTTTGATGTTATCTACTATGATTTACCTCTTTTAAAATCCCAATTTGAACCTAATATTTCTATTTCTTTCTTTTGCATTATAACTTGTTTTGGATAGTCTCTGGAGAATAATGTATGCTGCTACAATTTCTCTATTGTTTCCTCGACTTTGATTATTATAACCCTTAATTAGATTTACTCCTGGGATACTTCACATTGTTGTTCTTTCTAAACATAACTTCGTACTGTATAAAAACACACATACGATTGAATAAAGCAAACAACAGCAGTCATTAAAACAACAACAACAACAACAACTTATGATGACCCTCCTTTTATTCTCCAAGGTCCATGAGCTGTGCGATAACTTTTGCCACCGGTACATTAGCTGTTTGAAAGGGAAAATGCCCATTGACTTAGTTATTGATGAGAGGGACGGCAGCTCCAAATCTGACCATGAAGAGCTCTCAGGATCTTCCACAAATCTAGCTGACCATGTAAGTCTTGTTGAACTCTTTGACATCCTGATATTTGAAAAGGCCCCTAGATGACTTTGATTACCTGCTGTAAAGTCCATATCCTCTCTCCTCTAACCTTTAAAAAAAATTATCATGCTCTTGTGTATGCACAGGTATTTTGCTGCTTTGGGGTTTTATTTGAGGTGTTTGTGTCTGCTTTTTTTACTTTTTTGATTCTCTTCCTTCTTCCTTACTTTCTGCACTGCCCTGGATAGGCTGTTTGTAGAGGCAGCAGAGTGATTTGCGATGATAATTTGTCAAGTTTCCTGGATCTGGGCAAACTTGTACCGTTAGCAAATTGTTTGTTTGATGTGGCGGCCGGTGCCTTTTCTGCCTTACCAACCCTATAATCTATGCAGCAGAGGAAGAAAATAGAGGCTAGAAAGCTGGGGAGGATGTGAAGAGAATTTGGGGGGAGGGATGGAGGGCAAAAAGAATTCTTTTAGGAGGAAAGTGAGTGCTGATTTTTTTCTTCTTCCATACAGAGGACTGAGTTGAGAATCATTGGCATTTTACACTGGGGGGGGGATGAGAGTGGGGGCTCACTGAAGAGAGTTTTCAGTGCTTTTGCTCTAAAACAACTTATTGTCAGAATATGGACTTATTGCCAAGTGCCTGAAGCATCTTCATAATAAAAGACAGTAACCTTGATGAACCAATTATTAGCAATGTATTACAGAAAGCTGGAGAGAATTATGATTGGGTAACCATAGGTTAGTGGTTGATTTTAACACTTTAACAGTTGGTGAAGGAGTAGAGTGGGTATAGTAAAGAAGCACTTGTGTTTGTCAGGCAAAGGAAGGAGGTTTCTATTCTCTGTTTTTTTTTTTCATTCTATTTTGGAACAGATCTAGTGAATCTGATGCTTTAAAAAACATATGTAGTGAGACTGGAAATTTGAAAAAGCAATAAGAAGAGAGATTACAGCTGGTAGTGAAGGAAAGAGTGGCTAGGTTAAAAAAGAGTGGGTGTGAGCTACAGTTTATTTATAGGAACCCAGCCTTGGGGGTGGGGAGAAGGGGTTCACACAGATTGGATTCAATTGAACTCATAACCTAAATGATACAGTCTAATAACCTACTGGCTGAAATATTAATTTAACACTTAATGTGAACTTAACACCTGAAAATTGTTCTTTGGAATAGGAGGATAGTTTGCCTCTTCCCTCATTCCTGTGAGTTAAGATTAAGCAGATTTGAATCCAAGGAGAATGAGCCTTCTGCAGTTGCCCTCCCCATCACTACTTCTTTTTGAAAAAAAAAATTAAATTGCATTGAATATGAATTTCTGTATGTATGAATTCATATATATGGATCACACATATACATATATGTGTGTATATACATTTATGTGAATTTAATATCTAACCTTTATACTAGATGGGAGGTAAGAATAAGAACAATATTATTATTATTTTTTTAAATCTCTACCGGACATGCTGAGATGGAAAAGTTCTGAGACAAATGCACCAGGGTTGAAAGCTTCTTAATCTATTTCTTCTATTGTCTTTTGAAATGGAGGGTTGGAGGAGGCTCTTAGGGACCTATTTTGCATTTTGAGTATATTAAGTGAAATCAAATGGGTTACAGCAGTGACTGAAAGTTTATTTGCTGATCTGCCATATGATTTGTGTATGTGGTCTATGAGGCATGACACTCGCTTCCAAAATGTGTTTGTTTGTTTTTACTGTTTCATGACCCAAAATCCATATGCATATGTATTATTAGGGGAATGGAGATGGAAGGGAGAGACTTATTTGCATCCATTTTAGAATTGGAGAAATAATATATAATGCAATATAAATCTTTTCTTACTTCTTTTAAAAGGATCTCAACTTGTTGGCTCTATAGTCCAGGTTCTTGGCAACAATTTTTTCAAGAGGCTATGTAGAAATGGCCAATGCTTGTGTTTATATTGAAGAAATTAGATGGACTAGCCTGTTTAGGATTTCAACTGATGAAAAATGCTTTAGCTATTCTGAGAAACTCTATTGTAATATTTAATATTTAAATTAATATGTCACTATAAAGTGACTAGTTTGGAGATTTCTATTTTAATTATTTAACAAACATCTTGTCTAAAAAGAGAATTCTGCATATTGGCTATGGTGTCACCATTCTCACAGCCCCTTCTCCCCTCCCCCCAAAAAAACATACAGACACAAATGCAAGCAAACATGACAACTGATTAATATCAAATTCATTACCATTTTTCACCTCATTCTCAAAGAGGTAAACTTACAACTTTACCCTACCCACCTCATTATTTGTTTGGAAATGAAACAATAATCTGAGCCGCCATCACCCCATCCTACATGGGAATGAAACAATGCATCACACAATGATGTTTTACTCAATGCTTGTTGACTTGACTTAGGATTTGGGATGATGGGGTTAACAACCATTTCTAGATTCTCTGAAACCTCCACTTGCTCCAGTTGAGAAGTAGTTTTATGCAACCTATACAATTATTGTACTACTTTTTGGGGTTACCCTCCCCCAACCTACCCAGGGGCAAATATTTACTTTCACAGTTCAGACTTCCCTCCTTCTCCAGGCCTCTCTCCTTTCCCCACCCATCTCCAGCATAAGAAAAACCTTCACTGAGATAGTACCTGAAAAGTAACCCCAGTCAGAAAATTCAGTATGCAAATGCATCCAATTTGAATCTCCAGGTTTATTTTTTTTTCATTTGCTTTGATATACATATTTAATACATAGCCCCAGGCTGGATCTTATTTGGTGAAAGTTGGTGTTAGGGTGATGAGGAGCCACTTCAGAAGGACAGAGACAGCATGTTATTTTCCTGTTTTATCTGTTGGCCCACAGTTCTGATCCACTGAGTTTCCTCATGGTTTTATTTGCACATGAAATACTGAGAGCATTTGGACTTATTGGCTATGAATAATGACAGCTAAAAAGAAACGTAGTTTAATTTGTTGTGTGCCAAGGTTTCTCTTGTGGAGGTGACAGTTTGTGACAGCTGTTTGACACCCCCAAAACACATACACCTCTATCTTATTAAGTGTTATCCAGCTACCCTGTGTGCCTGTGTGCGCGTGAGCACGTGCATGCAGAAGTACATGAGTGTGTGTCTGTGTGTTGTGGGAGGTGTAGGGGAAAGGGGGCAGAGGAAGAATATTAAGTACTAATACATCTTTCAATAGCATTCCTGTTATCAGATATTAAAATATAAATGAATCAAAAGAAATAAAAGAAATATAAGAAGAACAAGTGTTAATGGGTGACTTTTAAGAGTGGTTTTTAGATGTTGGGGATGTCCTTTTGTGAACTTGGCTGCTACCACAAACTACCTAACTCCACAATTTTATATAAAAACTTATCTCTCTCTGCAGAAGTAATATAGGTGCATGAAAAGCAGTCAGATTCATAATTTTCCTTGAGGTGATGAATGTATTGAATTTATCTTTATTTGAAGCTAGCATAATGAGCACAAAGGGGCAGGGAAATTTGGAAATCAAACAGCATCCATTCAAGTCACTGGAAATTCACATTTTTGGTTATCACTCCATTATGTTTAGTAAATATAATAACACATAATTATCATTTGCATTTTTAACACTGTAATTATTTTTTAAGTGTTCAAAAGTATTAGCCGCAAGTAGGAAACAGGCAATTATAGTCACACTCTGGCTAAACCGGAACATTAGGGGAGAAAAGATAAAGGGGAAAGAAAAAAAGGACTGGACTCCAGCTGCAGTTCATGTCAATTTTCCCAGTCATTCATATTTATCATATTTACAATAAACATGTCAAAAGATTAATTTTTTAAAAATAGATTCTATTGGAAAACTCTCTTTGCTATTGAATACCTATGACTTTTCTTTTGCACATAGCTTTGCCTGTTGTCAAATGAAATATAGTGATTTCTTCCCTGAGCTAAGTTCAAAGTTTACTTGATAGTAATTTGGTTGTATATAATTTTCAAAATTAATGGGTAAAAGCTACTATATTTTGATATATAAGAGAAAATACATCCAATTCATCAGCTTCAAGTGCCTTAATTGATTACCAATTCATTTAAATATTAATACCTTAATTCATGTTAGCATTTATATTTTGAGATGATCATATGTTAGTGTCTTTATATATAATATGTCTTAATATATGGCAAGTTTTAATTATTTCCATGAGGCTTTTCAAATTGATGTGGGTCTATACATGAACAACCTCTTTCTGAGATGAAAAAGTCCATATAAACTTTATCTGGGCTGGCATATAGAAGCAAGAACCCTGAGATAAAATTCTGCTGAAAATTCTGTAGGGAATAAAATGATTTAAAAGTCTTGTTGCTTTGTTAAAATCAAAGGGAAAGACAAATATGTGTTATGATTAAAAAAGAATGCTAGCATTTTCAGTTACCAAATATTATCTTAGGGTCTATTAAGGTGCTATAGTTGGTTTAGGAGAATTTCAGTAGTGTTCCACCTATGGGCCAACACGTGGGGGATACCTCAGTATATGTTTAGGGAGGTGAGGGAGGACACTTAAAAGATCTGATAGTCAATAGCTATCATGTCAGTTTCCTGTCAAGTATAATTACACTATTTAAATCATTAAAGGTTACAAGCTTGAGGGCTTTTTAAAAATGTAATTGTGATCAGATGACCTAAGACAAAGTTTCACTTGACAACAACTAGTTGGACATTGTTTAAAAACTTTTTTATTATTTCATTTTGTCCTTTTTTTCGATTAAATTATTCTGTGAAAGGTTAAAAAAAAAAAGATCTGTTCACTATCTAACATATAGCATATTACAAGTCCTCTATCCCTTGAAGGAACATTTCTATTAAATGGACCGGTCATTCACAGATTATCCTTACTTTATAGTAGTTGGCAGCTTATTGACAATGTCTCACTTATTTCTTCTAAACCCTGATTTAGGGTGGAAATAAATAAATGAGGGATGACCCAAGAACTATTTAATAATCTTAAAGAAAATTTCACTTTTTTGAAGCCTCCAATATTCTTCCTAGAATTCACAGTTAGGAGAGAGAGAAATTTTCAATCTCTTTTTTTTTTACCTCGCTGAGAATATTTGCCAGTACTTTGTGGAAACAAACCCTTCAACATATAAGGTCTCCAGTGTTAATCCTAATTATTTCGCCCTTCTTGTATTTGCATAATGCCAAGAGGAACAAAATACATCAGCTCACAGAAAATTCGTTTGAAGCTCAACTTTGTTTTGATATTACGCCTCCTTGACTTTTATTACAAACATGTATCAAATTAAATAGAGTTTTCCATGCTGCATTTGCTTATGGAAATATCTTCCCATATATTTACTATTGCTGTTTACCAAGCAACCCTTAAAAATCTATATACTTATAACATTATTCTGTTTTCCAAAGGCATGTAAAATTTTTGATTTGATGTGATATATTATGGCATAAGTACGGAGCCTAAAGGAAAAAAGTGCATCTTAACATTTGTTATTAAGAAAAGTTTTTGCATCCATAAGAACTTATTCGTAAGATGAGTTTTCAAATATCTTAGAGAGGCCTTGTGGTATAGACATATCAGTTTCTTTTTTCTGAACAAGTATGATACATTTTACTTTTTCAGTTTTTCATTTACCCAAAAGCCTTGGCCTTTTTGACCCATTGTCCTTTGGAAATAGAAGAGAGGTGAGAAGTGTTAAATAGTTTAAACAAGCGGATATCTGTGAATCACGAGGACTTAATTAGTATTATACGATAGCAAACATACCTGAGAACGTCTCTTCCACAGTAATGTTTTAATAGTTTAAAATGCTTAAAGTTTTCAATAGATTTGCACCATCGGCAAAAGACAAGCACATCCGATTTGCTTCATCTGCCTAGAGACTCTTGTCCTCTCCATGCTCTTTTCTAGATTTAGCAAAATTCAATGATGGTGCTAAATCAATTTTTTTTAACTTTCAAGGGAGAAAACACTGGCAAAATTGTGTTTCCTAGGAAAGACTGTGTGTATAAATGAGAAACAGCGGATAGCAGTAGAGTGATCTCCTGTGGCCCTGTGACTACAAGCTTTTCCCATATTGTCTCCTGCTTTTATATTAATTACAACTTGCATTATCAGCTGTGAGTCTGTAGCCCAGCAAATAGAAAATACTGCCCCTTGAGACCTAGCTTCTTGTATCTATTTTCCATCTCTTTCTGTTGTGCTCCACTCAGGATTCACTGCTTTTCTCCTGGTAACACGGCTCTTTAATGCAATTATGTAAGAGTAAGGAGAGTACCATATTTGACTCCCAATTATTGAAACCACTGGGAATAGAAACATGTACTCTTGGCTTTGTGTATCTTTATAATATAAGGTTATGCTTACTGATGAATTGCTGGGTACATACTCATACTTATTTACATATGTGTGCACATAAATCACACATGTGATGCTACATGTACACAGTGCAGTATATATTAATATTATTGTTATAAGTCAAATCACATTGATTGGGATCACTTTTCCCTTTAATCTTCAATATATACATCCATGAATTATAGAGACATGCATATCCATCTCTGTAAGCACAGTAATCTACGTAATGAAAGCATATTGGTATATCTATCAAAAGCAATACGTTTAGGAACTACATTTTCTGTATGTCAGTTTTGTTTCAGGAACCGCAAAACTTCTGCATATCATTGGGCAGAAAGCCAGGAAGTTGTTCTTGAGGCATGTAAACTTAGGAAAAAGAAAAAAAGGAGTTGAAATAGACACAGACATTTCAACCCAAGAGTGAACGGTGTTGGGGTAATAGGGTGTGCTTTGTGTGTTCATATTGTTTACAATCTTTATACCACCAAGGAGAAGCTTAATTTACCAGCTCTTCAAATATCTGTCTCTGTGTATGATTACATCACTGTCTATAGCTAGAGGGAGCAACTTATGGTCTAAGCATGAGCTTTGAAGCCCTAACATCTCTGGAGAACCACAGGTTCCATTTTTTAAAGAGTGACTTGTTCTTCACTCTTTCAAAGTAGATAAATATCATATGATTTAGTGTTTGAGAGTCTCTGAAACTTGTCCTTAGGACATTCTTAAAGCATTTTACCAACACCGAACACCTTAGTATACTTTATAGAACTGGGTTGGGTGTTAGTTGTTTCATTGTTGCTGTTGAATAGAAGGAGGAAGAGAAAGAAAAGAGGGAACATAGATTGCTTTTGTGAGTTTCAACAAATATGGGAACTGACTGAAAACTCAAGGCAACTAAAAGTCCAACCCATCTCTAGGACTCATCCTATTTGAAAGTCATATTGGCTCATGTAGACTTTTTTCTGTTTCTTTCTCATAACTAAACATTGCCAAATTGTTTTCCTCAAGAAAACTGTCTTAAGAAATCTGATGAGCCCTAAATCAATACAGTCTGTCTTTCTGAAACATGGTCTTCCAACGTAGGTCAAAACTCATCTCTGACTGGTGGAGACAAACAAGTGTTTTCCATGGTGGGAAGTTCTCAATAATCCATTCCAAACCAGTTCACTTTCCAAACCCAGAAACCTGCAATGGCTAGATTTGAAAGAATACATAATTGTGATTACATGATGTTTGCCTTTAAATGTAGCTAAAGTATTAGTGGTTAATTATTGTCATTTTCTTTGAGGTAAGGTGTTTTCCCAGCAGCTCACTTAATCAAAGAGCCTACAGTACTTAATGTCATTTGGTGTATACACTAAAAGATAAATTAGCTTAGGTGAACATGTTGCAGTTATTATATTTTCTAAAAGGAAGATTCTAAGCCCGATGTTGTTGCAGGGCTAAACCCATGCCAGGCTATTGTTTCTTTCCTCTTTTCATGTAATTCTTCCAGTTCTTTATCTGATTACCATCCGGCAAACAGCTGACTCTAAGAGGCTGCAGAGGGCTGAAGAGCCCCTGTCTGCAGTTTGCCTTCAGCTTGAAGCTATTTGAGTGGTTTCCTAACTTAGAGATTAAAAAGAAGAGCTCATAGGCACAACTTTGTCTTAATGGAGGCAGTGGAGAAACTTGTTTTGGTTTCCATTTCATTTCCTTCTGTTGTTTCATTCCCTTACCTTACTTTTAATGTGTATGTATATGATTTATATTATATTCATATAGTGTTAACATTCAAGACATTTCTGCTGCATGATTTCCTCTGTTCTAATTTCTGGTTGTTGTTATTTAGTGATGGTAATGGGTTTTTTTCCCCATATAGCTATTATTACCCTTCCATAAAGCTTTGGGTTAGTTTAATGAATCAAAGAAAAAAGCCTCATGTTAATTCCCAAACTATTCTTTCCCAGTATTTTGTTTTGTTTTTGTCTGTTTGTCTTGCCAGTCTTTTGACAGTTCTTCAAAGAGAATATAAGCTTGTTAGTTGTTTTTTTTTAAGAAGATATTTTGTCTAGGCTTGTAAGAGAACTTTTTAGTTCTGTACTTTACAATGCTGATTTGATGTGGAAACCAAACCTTGTCTTGATTTTTTTTTTAAATCAAATGGATGAACTATATATAGTAGCAGTTTGGTGAGATTACTTTCAGATGGCTCCAAATATTTACATACGGTGTATAAATAGCATGTGTATGCTCGCCTGAAGCTTTATTGATTGATTTATGTAGGGATGGGCATCATTTTCTAAGGTTGGCATTATTGTTGGGATTCTGCTCAGGGGCTGTTTCTGAAAGTTGCAGCCAAGTACTTAATTTAGGTTGTCGTATACAGGTGACAAGTCATGCAGGTCCAGCCCTAAGGCTGATCTATTTCATGTGTTCTTACTCTCCTTTTCTGCCAGAGGAAATTCCATCTCTTGCCTGCCTTCATGTGGTGCTGATAAAGCCTTTCCTGTACATTAGAATTCCTGTTTTCCTTTAAGCAACAGCAGGGTATTGGGAATGATCAGGAAAGGGGAGGAGGACCAGAAGGAGAATACACTCACCAAAAGTAGCACTGAGCTATGACTGTTTTCCTCACTTTTCCCCTTTAGATAAGTAGTCATTCTCCCTTCTACAAAACTAGTGGGCAGTGAGCTAAAATTGACTGACTAGCTAGTATGTGGAGAAGTAGATATTCTTGCCGTCTTCCTAGTCTGGGTCTTATGTATTCTCATTTTATTGTACCTTAACTATATTAACGCTGAAAGAAATTAATAAAAGTCATAATACATTTATGTGTATATATATATATATATAAGTCTGTGTGTATACATTCATATATACATACATATATGTGTGTATACACATACATATAATATCACCTGATCATATTCCTTGATAGTTCTTATAAGCTCACTCCTATAGGGGATTATAACTAAGAGCTGTATTGTATGATATGACTCACAGATAATTTTTTCAGGGAATCATTCTTCAAAGAGTTGCTGATTTTTTTCCGCCTTTCCAGCATTGTAGTTTGAGATTCTCAGAAACATTTCAGAATGATAAAATACTTAGAATAAGAAACCTTAAGAAATGTGATCAACTTTCTAAAATTTGGGTCCTTTGGTTAATACCTCAAGGGAAATGTAATGTTCCTTCTAAACAATTCTTTTCCCCGCTCTATTTTTCTTTGCACCTTTTTAAGATACATAGTACAAGCATGGCATCAATATAATAGCAATTTTGTAAATACTAATGTGTTTCTCTCTCTCTCTCTCTCTCTCTCTCTCTCTCTCTCTCTCTCTCCCTCTCTGTCATCTCTCAACCTTGGTCTCCTTCCTACTCGTTGCTCCTTGGGTCCTCATTTATGACTGGAATGAAAACTGTGGGAAAAATAATTCCTTGGCATCCTGACACCAGAACCCTTCATCTTGGAGAGACCATGATGATGCAACCTCAACACACTCAGCAGGCACCCCAGGGCCCTCCAGTGGGGGCCATGCTTCCCAGAGTGGAGACAACAGCAGTGAGCAAGGTAAAAGGTCAAACATTTTCCTTGTGCGAAGTAGGCATGACTAAAATAACTTTAACATTTTATGATATCAGTACATCTACCTTAGTGTAAACACAAAGTGTCAGTCAGGAAAATTTAATCAGCTTTAATTTAGGGAGACAGTATTTCTTTTTCTTAACCCACTTTACTTTCAAAAAATAAAAATTCAAAGTAAATTTTTTAATCTTACCTTGCAAAAGCAATTGATTAGTTCTGCCAATTTTTTTTTATAAATTTGGTTTCCTACACTTTATTTTTATGTGGTATAGGTAAATAGAATAAGAGACCCATTTTCTAGCTGTGATGCAGTAATTTGTATTATTCTGTAAACAGTGAACTTAGCTTGTAATATCAATTATAAAAGGCTTCTTTAACATAAGTAATTAAGTCCATAAGTCATAGAAGAGGAAAAAAATCTGTTCTTATTTGTTTTTGAAGTGCTGCACAATTTCTTTCTATGGAATCCAGTATGTAGTAGGTTAATTTCAAAATTCCTACAAATTGTGTGTCCCAATTTACATTTCATCTGCCCTGAGTGGTTAGAATAATGACTGTAGCTCCAAACCCTAAAAGCCAAGGCAACCAGCAGTGAGGAGGATGATAAAGTCTAATTTAGAATAGATATAACTGTTGCAAATTCACCAACTAGACACAGAGCAGCTATCTTTTGGTAGGAATGACTCTTCCATGGATAAGATGGAAATTTAAAGGAAGATGCATTATTGAATGTGGGCTAGGAGAGCATATAGATTTTACTTTTAAATATTTTACCCTGGATGGTGTCTGATCTTCTAGGTCTATTTCATTTCTATTATAACTATGTTTATAGCCCCAATATTTAAGCATTAGATAGATTTCTGAATAGAGGACAGGTTAATAGCTTGAGCTGTCATCTCCTGTGTGTGCCAGTATAAGTGGGGGTATGAAGGGATACTTTCACTTCTTCATGCTTTGGAGTATGTCTTTGGACCACAGTTGTTCTAGGAGAATTCTAGTGGTTGGAAAAGTCTACTTTCCAAGAGCTGTTCACTTGTAAATGGCTTAAAAGATATTCAAAATTTAAATAGACTTTTAAAGTAGTGTGGACCTAAAATAGAGAAGAATGTCCTAGGTAGTAAATTGTGAAACGTATTAATGTTTTTAGTAGAGGGTGTCCACATTGCTTGTAGTATGTTTGAGGGAAAACTAAACTATGTGGTGTATTAATCCATAAGTCTAACTGATGATCTACCACCAAGCACTTACCAACTTGCTTGTGAATCAGAGCCATGTGTGCATAGCAATGCACTTTTAAGTAAGTTCAATTTTATTGTTATCCTCCTCTCCTTTGCCCTCTCATCCTAAAATAAAAGCTATTTGCAGAGCTAGAAAGGGTTAAATGTATCTATTAATTAAATACAACACCCTAAACATTCTACAAAAGAGGGAAAAAGGAGAAGCTGATTTAATGGTCTAATGAGGCCATCTTCCAGAGACTTGTTTTGTGTGCGGCTTGCTCTGACCTTTCGCTTTGCTCAGGAGCCCAGTGCTTCATTTTTCACATTCTTGCAATTACGTTAACGCTTCAAGCATTTCTGACTCCAAGTCAGCTAGCAACACCAGGCATAACTCAACACTGTGAGTTTTTCTCCTCTCTGTAGATTCATTAACAGGTCACCAAGGTCCCAACTGAAATTTAAAACTGACTGGTTCTGTTGGGTTAGTTGAATTATGGCAAAGGAGATAGCAGGAAGGGGGCTGAGACAAGGGGAGGAGAGAGTGAAGACCCTAGGGTTTGGGGCAGAGAATACTTGTGTAAACCCCTAAGGTATATAGCTTTATCATTCCAACCATTAATTTTTTGGCAGGGAAAATAAGACTTGAACATGTCTTAGGTGACTGCTTCCCTTATTTGGGGATAACACATTTTCAACTTTGTTCTAGGAAAAGAAAAACTAGAAGCCTTGGGTAGTGGTACCAACTTATTCAATGTTGATGGATTTGATTCCTGTAGGATTTTGTTCCTTTCAATCATATCTTGGTGGGATTAAAAATGGATATGGTAGCTTATATGCATAAGAACTAGGGCATCAATAATCTTTACTATACCACAGTTTAAAGAAACAGTGTCACCATTAAAAATAGAGTCTGGTTTGACATGGGGAATTTTGTGCCTGGCTTACCACATTAATTGTTCTGCACTTGGTAGTGCTGCTAGATATCATAAAGTAGCCACAGTAAAGAATTGTCATTTAGGGTTTTTTTTTTAGAGCTGATTCTGAGTAGTTTCTTTGTTTTGTTTTGGTGGTGGTGGTGGTGGTGGTGGTGGTGGTGGTGTGTGTGTGGGTGTGTGTGTGTGTGTGTAGACCATATTTGATTATACATTGCAGTGGAAATGTCTGAAATAGTGGTCTTTATAATAGTTTGCTGTTTTGGCCCCCAGAATTGTCCAAGGTACCTTTCTGTGGGAAAGATTAATTATCTGCTTCAGGGCAAAGTCAACACAGATATTGACTGAAATCACATGCGTTTATCCTAGGTTAAATCTTAGGGTTGATGCATAATGCAAAACTTAGTTTGGGAGCTTTTGGCCCTTTGTATTAAACATTATAGTGTATGACTTTGCAAAGCCTACTTTGTAGTCCAGAAAATAATTTTTTGGTTATTCAAAATTTATTAGCACAACAGGCATATGGGAATCTGCAAAATGATTCAGTTTCAAAACAAATTATGATAAACAGGAAAAAATGGGAATGAATTGTACTAAATACAATGTTTTCATACACATTTTAAATTAAACTTTAATAGCCATATGTTATAAAACAATACATGTATTTATGTTGCAGTATTATTCTTTTGAATATTTTTACTATATTGATTGCATGTATGTCTCTCATTTGTAACCTCAAAATACCCCATTTTATGACCTGATAGTGAAAGAGCTTTGGTTACACAGGTGAAAGGTCATCTTTCCCCACCCCTACCCAACCCCCAGACTCCATGCTCTTACAACAAACTGAAAGGGAAAAAAAGCTTACATTTTCAAAACAGGGGAAAAAAGAAGAAACTTTATAGCATGTTAAGTCCCAGTGGAAGTGCACCATTTTAAGAACCACTCCATTTCTAACAGCAAACTATATGGATTATGAACCAGACTTTCCATGGATAGTGACTTGTCTTGCTTAAAGAAGGTTTAGGAAGGCAATTTTTCTTATTAGCTACTTAGAATGTGGAAGGAAATCTAGCTTTTCAGGAATAGAACTGGGCTTCTGACAACATTTTCTAGGCCCTGGCAAGTTACTTTTCCTCTTTGTCTCTGGTTCCCTACCAGTAAAATTGGGCTGTTAATACTTGAGGACTCTATTTCAGCATCAGCTCCTTTATATATCATTGGTTGTTTTGACTGAGCAAGGACTTTGAAGGAGGCCCCTTGTTCACAGAGTACTATGAGAGACTTGGATGAAAGGCACGATATATGTACAAAGTATATTATTATTATTATTGATGTGTATGTGTAACTCCCATTAATGTTGATGGGAGTTATGCATGTGAATTGGCAGGAGAATAGACCTCTCAGTGTTTAGAGCACATGAAATTTACATTTTTTCCACTGCTGTAATTGAGATGTTGACAAATTGGAGAATATTGATGAGCCTTTGTTTTAAGTATTTTGTGCCAAGTTTGTTTTATTTTTCCTGGTTTGAACAATGGTGTGGGTTCAGCAGCAATGAATAAAAAGGGTAGAGTAAAGATAACTTTGTATTTCAATATTTTGATGTGCCAATATGAAATAAATTGTCTTAGGCAAATGGAATATGCTGTTTTAATCGTTAGCTATGCATGAAAGAAAAATTGATGTTGACATCTTTGCTGTAAAATCGTTGTAATGGGGCCTTCCTTACAATTCATTTTTGTAAAATTCATTTTGTACATTTTGCAGCAATTGAACAATCCCTGCACTGTGAATAGGCAGGATTCCCAGAAATACCGAGACAGTTGGCCCAGTAACTGCTGAGCTCACACTGCACGCCACACGCACATTAACCATACTGTTGCCAGATCCAGTTTAGCCTCAATACATTAACATTTAAGCACCCACCCATCTCTTTTCTTTCAGTATACAGTATTATATGAACCAGCACATCCCTCCCCCCCCCACCACCCATTGTCACCCCACACCAACCATTTATGGATCCATCTATCATCCAGTCAATGGGGCAAGAAATTTGTAGTAAATCTTTTATATATTTATTTATTATACAGTTTTCTTGTCATTATATTGTTGAAATCTTCAAACACTTCTCCCTTTATGGAATTTAAGACTGAGGGGTGAGTTTCTAAAATATTCTAAAATATAGCTTAGCTCTTTCAGCTCAAGTTCTATAGATAAAAAGAAATTAGTTTTTTTTTCCCTTTACTCTGAAAACATACTGGTTATTAAAAAACCACTTACTATGTGCCCTGAATATATATTCTAGTGGGATTTCTTATTCATCCTAAGAAAACTCTGTCAATGGAATGTTTTCATAGTGGTGGGAATCTCTTTAAAATAACCCTAAATACAATATGACAGATGCCATCTGGCATAATCTTTTGCTAGTTGCTTTTAACTTTTATTTTTCCTTCAACGAGGTTCATCCAAAGCTGGTCACTTACTGTAACAATAGAGCAAATTATTTTTTCTTCTACCTATTACTATTTGCACCAAAATGATTAGCCAAGAAAATAAGTGAACAATAATGCAGAAGCTGCTGGGATATGGAATATTGATATTTGCCTTTTATTCCACCCCAACCCCACACCTGTCTTCATATAAAATAGATGAGTTTCTTCTTTTCTCCTCTGGACAGACCACCAAATATTTTCTGGTTGTCCTCTGGGAAAATTATAGTGGTAGCTGTTAGAAGTAAAATAAAACACTGATAATTAAATGCTCTAAGAACATGCAAGTATCTAAATGCTTTCTGGAGCTGATGCTAATTTTAACTAATTTTTTCCTGTTT